AAATTAATTCAAACAGGCCCTTGACTGGTTTAGTGTCGTCTAATTAACTGCTTGCATGAGGAGGTGAGGTCCTGCAACTGCAAAAGAGGATGATGAAATTGTGGACAAAATATTCACAAAATCGAACATAGGTTAGGTAAAATGTTTCCCAAAATTATTACTACTTACAACAAGGTCTTGTTGGCAAGTCTGATGGGGTTTTGTTTACCTACCCCCCTCCATTTGAAACGTAGATAAAATTAAAATTTATGACAGCTGTGGGATTTGAACCCACGCCCTTTCGGACCAGAGCCTAAATCTGGCGCCTTAGACCACTCGGCCAAACTGTCGATTTTGTTCAGTGCGTATCAGTTTTTATATTAGTCTCGTTACCCGTCAATCTTCCTTTCTTGACCCCCTTTTTTTTTTTATTATATATTTTTCTATATTTTTACCGTTGTTCCTGATCAGTGATTATTATCAATTTTGGTTCTAATAATCATTATTTATTATTAATTTTATGAGTTAGTAGCATTTTTTAATTTTAACTTTTAAGCTTGTTTTAATCTTATTATTTCATTGAACCAAAACTCAAGTGGGAAAATCAACCGAAATCAGCAGGGTGAAACGTGAGATTTGAGATGTGTTTTTTCATTTTTTGGGGGGGTAGGGGATAGATATCTTGGAAATGAAATCTTAATTATTGATAACAAGAAAATAGTGGTTATTTTTTATTACCCTCTAAGCAGAATTTCTCTAAATTTTTCTTAAGGTCCGTTTACTATATAATTGTGATTTTTTTTTTATTTTATAAATCTTGTAATTGAAAATTAAAACTAAAGGGATTAAGGAAAATTTGAACATCTTAACAATTATGATGTTGTGAATAATAATAAATAAATTAAGATACACTTAATAGATCAATACAGAAAAAAAAATTAAAATATACTTAATGAATTAACATTGAAAGAATTTATTAAAAGTATTTAAATAATTTTACAAAAAATTCTAATATTTAAAGTGTCAGACATTTAAAATTTCATTTTTCTCAAAACTACAAATCAAAAACTAAAAATTTGTTTAAAAACTTTAAAATAAAATTAAATAATTTTGTAAATTAATTAAATTTAGAGTTTTAAGTATTTGTTTTAGAATTTTATATCTAATATATTGACAATTTTAATTATTTAATTGTTTAATTTTTAATTTTGATTATTCAAATTTTAATCATAACTAAACTAAAAAAACCTAAAAATATAAACTTATTTAATAATATTAAAATTATTTTTGTTCTTATATTTTAATAATTATAATAATATACTGTAAAAACATATGAAACGAAACTTCTTCTTTTTTTCTTTTTTTTTTCATATTACAAAATTTATCGAATACACCTGCTTTTGTAAACATGCAAGCGCAGAAGACATTTTTGCAACCTCTACCACGAAAATTGAGTGTACCCTGCCTTTATCTGTTTATGATCTAAAAGAATTAACATATGCATATATATATGTCAATGGAACATGACATCTGAATATGATCTACCTATTACAAATGGACGCAAGAAAAATGAAGGAAAAAATGAATGTAAATGGCTATCAACTAACATATGGGACATGTGCAGGAGGCAAGGGTTTCACATTATTGCTCAAGGGGGGTACCGTTCTGTGTGTTTTCTTCACAAAGTTCTGAGAGAGATCCATCAGGAGCAATCGTTGTGGGCGTCCATTGATCTGGTACCATAACAAAATACGCGGTCATCGCTTTCCTGAACCGTTTTTTGTACTGCTGCGGGGAGATCACAGTTGGGGGTGTGATCTTAGCCCCAGCAAACATGCCTGCCGTCTGCACCGACTTCGCCCAAGTTTCTAGATGCTTGTCCCATGTATACTGCCGCATGAAATCAATGATTCCGAGCACCAGCTCATGCTTTTCCTCATCCACACCAACGAGCAATGAGTAGTCCATTACATCAACTGACTGTAGAGGAGCATTTAAACAATCAGAAGAAAAGAAAAAGAATGATTGTACAGTAGACTGTGCTAGAAAGGGAAAACAAAACCAAATATTTCATTGACGGGTTCTAATCCTCTTAGCATCGTAATTACCTTAAAGCACGTATATGCACATTATCAATATCAAATTGCATACAGGGTTAATGAAAAGAGAGCTAACAGTTGAAATGTAAATGAAAACCCCTAAATTAATGCAAACCCACGTTGGCAAAAAAATAAAAAAATCAAACCCATGGGATATATTTAATAGTTGACTTTCAACTTACAGCAAGAAAGTTAGTATCATTCCAGACAGCCCTGTCCAGCAGTTGCTTTGCCTTACTTCCAACAAAAATTGGAGAAGTTGGCATTGCTTCAATCAAATTCTGATCTAGCAGAACTTTGTTGCTTCCACTTGTGTCAGGATTATATCGGGAACGAGAAGATCCCTTAAGGTCATACAGCCTGGTAACATTACGCCTAAAGAGAAGATTTTCCATCACCAAGATGTCCATTTTTGAATCTCTTCCTCCTTTATGATGCTTGGATGAAACCTTCAGGATGGTGACAATAAAGGAAAATTCAAATGGCAAATCAAATATTGAAGTTCTATCACAGAGAAGACTGATTACAACTTGGAACCCATATCAACTATAGAAAGAAACAGAAAAAATTTATATTATCATTTTCATTTTCAGTGGAATCCCATGGTGTATTTCAAATTCTCAGGCTATATCAATGTCAAAAGGACATAATGGTAAACTAAACTCAAAAGTTCAAATTTAAGGCA